CGCGGCGCAAGCGTGCGTGCGTGCAGCGCCGCCATGCGTTATGTGAGCATGTTGGCTAGCGTGCGTACCGTTCGTAGTCGCGCCAGTGGTGTATGTGCATAAAGTATGGGATGCAATAAGATATGCGGGCATAAGGTATCCGGGTGCTTATTAAGTCATACAACCGGTGTTACTGACATAGGAGCTGAAAGCAAACAGATTGTGTAACCTGCCCACAGCGCTACCCATCAAAACCGTCTTCACAGATGTCCATGCACGCAATGAAAAAGCCTATAAAGCCTTCTTGGTGTATCGTAGCATTTTAAAAATCCTACCTCCATCGTCATCTAAAAACACTTCAAACCGGTATCACGGCCGCGCGGTTATTTTTACCTACGAAAAGCCAATCTGCGACCATTGATGATGCTATCATTCCATAATCGTATTCTATCTAACTGGAATGTGGCGTCTTGAATTTTTTTACACGAATTAATTAAAACGAGTTAAATAAACGGGAGTCATCTGAAACGCAGCGACGAAAATCTGAACCGATATTGTTCTGTCAAAAGCGTCGGTACCTCAGTTTCGGCCGGAACACGCAAGCTACCACACTATTACTAATAGCACCTGAAACTGTCCGAAATTAATTTGCGCCGAGTGAAAACAAGTCCACTAGCTCTTGTTGTCACTTGTTCAAGTGATTGGCAATCAAAAAAAATGCCGGATGATCTATGGGGACGAACAGCTACGTACGACGACAGACGGATGATAGATAGATAGATGATGATCGATGATCGATGATGCAGATAATGATTGTGATTAGGATAGGCCATGACCGAATGGCAATAATGAGGTCATGTCAACGTTTCGGTAAAATAACAAGATAACAAATGTCTGAAACATAAAAATAAAAACACAAGGCCTTCCTGCTCCAGTATACTGCAATCGCCCCACCCACACCCACCAGCCGTAAGTAAGTAATTTTGCATAGAATGCACCACGTAGTTGATATATGCTCAGGATTGACCAGTACCGTCGTTACATACTACGCCTAAAGTAAGAGATATACTATAGAGAGACTTACAGCCAAGCCGCTATGTAGAGCGGGCAAATGAAATAACCATCCCAGCATCATCAGCACGAAGATGGCCTGTAAGAAACAAAAAATAAGTTCGCAATTAAGTTTTACTGTAACATATGCGCTGGCAACGAAGAGAGAAGCGACGAACGAGGGCGCGACATCGCGGTGACGTCACCGAAAGGTGAATTGTTCCCAGCGTCCTACAGTAAGCGGCTGACCACGGTGACCGCTGACCATGATGAGAAGGAATCTCGTTGCGTATGCAATTCGTGACATCGGGTGTATCCATGAGTTAAAGAGACGACATGTTCGCTACGTACAGAATGTAACTGCAATCGAGACAAGCCCGACACTTGGACACGCCTATCAGCCAATAAAAATGATAGCAAATAAACAGAATTTAAATATATTTATAAATTATCTATCTATTCCCGTCAGAGTTTAGTGCCGCTCTGAACTAACGATTACCAGTATTTATTATTGGAACGGTTCAAGTGTCTGTGACGCCGATCGTGTGAAAATTGTATATATATATATATATATATATATATATATCAAAAGCTAATCATACCTAGGTATTAATAATAATAGCTAGGTATTATTAGCTCTTGATATATATATATATATATATATAATAACCGTACTAATATAATGTCGTCTGTGGGGCCAACGCGTTAATATGTTTACAAGTATGATGTTCGTTTTTAACGAATACGGATGAATTCACACGGGCTCGCGAGAATCCCTTCCACTTCCTCAACTCTCATCTGATATCTACACCACATGGACGAAGACGTTCGACTAGCACCTAACTCAACCCCACCCACCCACACCCATCCACCAACACCCACGTATACAACCAATGCAGAAAGCCACTTCCTGCATAACACGGGGAGTGGTACACGGTTATACAGCGAGCGACGGTAATATATGGGTAACCTGCACAAATACGTGTAATGCCGGTTTGTTTGCTGGGTAATCAATCAGGTGAAACAGAACTCTGTGCTGTGATCGCGAGCGGGTCGTGGTGGCACTTGAGGAGCGTAAGATTGGCAAGAGTCGCGAGATTAAATTCATGTAATTAGTGTATCGATGCGTTGCTGAACAATGTTCACCTTATAGCCACGATGTTCATAAACGTAGCATACACGCAGAGTTACACGTACATATTGTATACGCACGGCTATATAGGCGAATGTATTGCCGGATTCACAAGGTAGATCGTGACGTCTATTTGTTCGTGTGTATTACGTCAGCACACAGGCACACACCGGTAAAATATGTGCAATGATTCGCATGGGTGATAACAGGTGCGTATAGATAAACGAGAAGTTACCCACACAAATGCATTCGTCCGCTGTTTGCTAGCGCGTATTTAACCCCGTATAGCGTCGACACCCTGCAAAAATTTACCTGCTACTGACTAATTCGATGTAGGATCACATTTGCACTGTGTACGGGATGTAATTAATACGTAGAAGCTTGATGGTGCGATTTATCGCGACCATTTTAGAGCGTTCACTCATCTATCTATCTATTTGTCTATCTATCTATCTCTCTATTTGTCTATCTATCTATCTATCTATCTATCTATCTATCTATCTATCTATCTATCTATCTATCTATCTATCTTTCTATCTATCTATCTATCTATCTACCTATCTATCTATCTATCTATCTATCTACCTACCTACCTATCTACCTACCTACCTATCTAGCTATCTATCTCTTTCTTTCTTTCTTTCTCTCTCTCTCTCTCCCTTTTCTCTATCTAGCTCTATCTCTCTCTCTCTCCCTCAGACACACTCTCTCTCTCTCTCTCTCTCTCTCTCTCTCTCTCTCTCTC